GCGTGCATGCATGGTTTTAATACAAGATTAGATGTTCTAATGCAAAAAATGCAGTCGTTTAAGACTCTGTGAACTTGAATATACGAGGTGAGCTGAATACATTGAGGGTGTCAATTGGGGGGGTAAGATCTCAAAGACATTGGGTACCTTTTGAGATCACAGCACTAGTTCTTGGCTTTTGGAATATGTATCTGGATAAAGTTGATGAAAATGGACATTTCAAGCATTACAATATTATTTTTAAATGATATATTTGAATGATGTTTGAATAATATTCAAATGTTGTTTACATATTTTTTTATTTCAGTCTTCTATGATTTAAATGTTGTTATACAAACAAAGTTACAAAGACAGCTTTTTTACCTTTTACCCCAGTCCCTTCTTCAATTAATGTTATAAACAATTGCCATTTATGTTTACTGCATATCTTATTTGTTTGCTTTTTTTTTTTCAATTTCAATTATATTTAACTGTAGGATTTAAAAAGCGGACAAAATATATTTGGTCAGTGTTTGTCTTACCTATTCTAATTCTTTAGATATCACAATAGATGTCCCTTAAAATAGTTCTGCAATTTTTATCAGTCTTCCATTTTGATGTCTGTGATGTCTGTAAATAAGGTTCAAGCAAAATCTCCATAACTTCAATGTCAAAAACAGCACTAACCTCCCCTGTGTTAAGACTACCACATTAACCACTAACATAAATTTTATCATTCAATCTACATTGTTGTTGTTTATCTCATTAGCTCCTCTCCAAACTAATGACTTGTACTTTTACCTCACCTCGGTTTTGGAGCGGTAAACCTGTTACCTCAACAGCCTCTTTCCAGGTGAGAATTTTACCAGAGGTGTATGACAAATTATTACCTGTATCTTCGCTGTCAGAGGAGAGGATAAAAACCAGCTCTGACTCCTATGTCCAGACAACAGAACAAGTCATAGAACAAGAATTCATTTCTGACACAATATATATATATATATATATATACACACACACACACACACACACACAAACACACACATTTTTGGGGATGCATTTAAATGGTAATTTGTTTCATTTCTGAATCAACGACCTGACCTCTGGCATCCATTTCATTGCCAGGCGATATACCCAGATTTGGCAAATGTGAGCATTTCTTTTGTTACTTTTTTTTTCGCCCTTCTAGTATTCTGTTTTTCTTTACAATGAGATTTTAGAAATCCACATGGAGTTCATTTCAGAGAATCTGTCTTATGTATTCTTCTGCATAATCTCTTATATTTTTTTCTTCCCACATTTTTGTTATTCTAAATATCCACAAAACCAATCCAGATGTAGTTTTTCAATCCCACAGCTAATTTACATTTTGCTATTTGGTATATCAACACTACCTATTATTTTTTTCACAGAATTAAATAAAACTGAAAAAGGTCACACAAGAAAATAAATAGCAGATTACACCCTACTTTAAAAATGATATACTTACGATAGAACATTTCAAAAATACCCCCCCAAACAATACAAAAAAATGTACTTGGAAATCAGTTTTAATTTATAGCAAAATTCTTCTGTTTATAATGTTCAAAAGGATGTTTGGTGTAACTTCCAGTGCACTTGTAATTACAACTTATAGCACATTTAAAAGTCAAAAAACAGGTGCTAACTCTAATAACTCTTTTTTGCCTCTTTCTATAAATCTGCCCAAATCTCAATAAATATGAAATACCCAAAGTTCTCACTCCTTTTAGCTTGACAGCATTATTATAAATTTGCTTTATCCAGTTCTGCAAATGCCCATTTTCTCCAGCAGATGTGGTTTCCACATGATTCATGGAGGGACTTAACCACAAATAAAAAGCTCTAGCTTGGCTTTCAGGTACCTGAAAAACTGAAAGAATTTTTGGGTTTCGTATCATCACATATTAAAGCAATTCCTCTCAGTTCTGACTGAAACAAAATCAAAGTTGTCCATATTTATTTTTAGTTACATGGGGGGGGGATCATGTGGTTTCCCTCCCATCACTTTTCTTTTTAAAAAATAAAAGCAACTGTTACTTGATATAACACAGAATATAAACTGCAAATATTTTTGATTTCAACGCACTTAACACTTTTCTTTTATTTCAATTTTTATCTCATTTAAAAAGGATTTGTTTCACCTCTAAGTCTTTTGCTTTTTAAAACATCTTAAACTTTCAATCTCTAAGTGGCTTTAATCAACCTTTGTTTTTTAATATATTATTGACAGAAAAAAAGCTCTATTTACATTTTTAAATGCTGTTTAACCCAGTCCACCTCTAAAACCTGCTCTTCCCCAAAAATTGCTTTGACCACCCATGCATGTATTTCTCTCACCTCTTTACACCCCAGTTGAGCAAAATTAAAAAATTCCACCCATCTCCTCATGACATAATGTTTATAAACTAAGAGGTGTGATGAAGAACCACTTTGATAATTGACAATTAACCTGGAAAATATCACAAAAGTGTTCATGCTTAGAAAGGGGCCCTCTGCCTTGTGGTATTATGCCCCAGGAATGGATGGTTATGACTAAAGTTTTCTCACCTTGCTGGGAAGTTTCTTTTTTTTTTTAAGTACACATATGAGACATGAAATAAATTAGCGCATCTTCTCCCCTACCTGGCGTCCCCTGACATTCCCCTTTAACTGAACTTTAATTTTGAAGTCTGAGACAATGTCCATGCTTGAATGGAATGTGATAAAAAATTTTAATCATTCAGCTGAACAAGTTTTTCAAATTTCATTTCAATCAAAGCTTGATTTTGAACAAAGAGTGCATATTTAATTTTTTAACATTTTAAATTTTTTTCAGTGAGGGAGATCCATCCAAGTTTGTAAACCTCTTCTTAAAAATTAAAAACCAAAAGATGAACATCTGCTTTTTTTTTTCTGTAGCCAATTTTAATGAAAAATCCTTTATGGTATTTTCTCTCTTTTAAAATATTTCATTTTCAGACAAAGGTCATGCCTGAGCAATTGGCACTATTTACTACTTTTAATCACAAATAAAAGGCTTTCAAGGCAAGTCTAACATAAAAGTCAATATCAAGTCCGCAACTACGTCATGCTTCAATGACCTTTAATACATATTCCATACAATCTGTGACTCTCTACGTCTTTAATTGGTAGTCTATTAAACATAGGTGACAAAAGGCTTTGAATAAGTGACCATTAATGTATAATGTGTAATTCCTACACAAGAAGGGATCAGTTATCAGTGGACAAATGTTTCTCGAGTTATATAATGAAAGGCCACACATAAATGTCTCTTTATTATCTGTGAGTACTTCGACTTGACATTCTTTCAGCAGAATAATTGCTGGCACCTGAAAAGTTCTAATGAGAAATCACATGGAGGTTTTGAGTGTTCACTCTGCTTATAAATGATGATTTCAAAACCTGTTCTTCTTTAAGGTGGATATCCTTCAACTTCTGACGATTGAATAGCTGTCAGAATAAAAAACTTTTAAAAGGGGTCTCAAATGTCTGATCATATTCAGCTTATTTTATGCCTTGTCCAAAATATGACAAAAGGAGCTGGGGTTTGTTAGGGGGGAAACTCAGCCTTCTGAAAAGGGTTTATCCCTGTCAGTTGTTTGGCATGCTAATGTAACCAGTGAAGCCCATAATAAACAGGATAAAATCACTTCTCCGAGATGACACGGGAGAAACATGAAGCATTATTTTGGATTCAAATCAAAGCCATCCTATTTAAAACCTGTTCAAAAAGACAGACTTTAAATGTGACTAAAATTGAAACCCGACTCCCCCCATATCCAACACATCATATTTTTTGCTTGAAGTATTAAAGGGAGAATTTCTATGGGTTGGGCTTTATTAGCTGTAAGACTATCTGTACGCGTATTGTTGAAGGGGTCCATTTTGTGCTCTTTCTGTAATAACTTCCATTGAAAGAATCTCATACTAGAGATGAAACCCGCTGAACTGTTACCAAAGTGCCTTTTATGTTTATAAAAGATTACAAATCCTACGTATCAGTCTAAATTAATGCAAACTAACAGCACATGCGGTAGCACCTTGTAGCCCAGACAACCAGGTATAAGTCCCAAATTTAGTTTACTTTTGATAAGTTAAGTCCCTTTTACCTACAAATAGAAGTCAACTAGATGTATTCTGTATACAGTAAATCGTGTTTGCTGTTACTATTTCCCCCATTGCATAGCTCTATATCCATGAGTGGCGCTGAACAATTTGTCAAAATTTTCTGTCAGATAGATTGAATTTTAATCTTGGAGACTGAGGGACGGCTCAAACTGGGCGCAGTGAATGCATGAAATAACAAACCAGCCAATAATCTTTAAACCACCGGAATGCAGTTTTTTTGTGGGGGCCGATTTATGTCACTTTTGCATTAATCATTTAATTAAAAAAATCAAAAAAAAAAATTAAATCAACAGCAATTCATTCAATTCATTCAAACTAATACGGGAATATTGAATTTTAAAAACTTTCGGTACAGTTTCTAGATATTAGCCGGTTGCTTTCGCTTTTAGACAAAGCGTTGTCATCGCTCCGAGAAAACTGAAAACGGATCTTTGAAAAAGATAACATCGTCAAGCAGTAAAACAGTAAACATGGCTCAAAGGGAAGTCTGTTCATTCATAAGTTCGGTTGATAGTGCGGAAATACGTCGCGCGTGACGGCTCTCCAGCGGCACCTCAAAAAGTTTTTTCTCCAGTGAAATCAACAACTACTCTACCAGCCAGCGCACGCGGCGCAAAGTCGTCTTCGACACGGCGTACGACCATGCGTGCACTCCAATTCCCGACAAAACACTTGAACTGAAACAGTTTCCTCAATGGCTATGCGCTTGCATCCGCTGGAACACAGTTTGAATAGATATACACGCACAAATGACTTCTCGCGGGCACTTGCCAAATCGCAGAGTAACTGTCTTGTATTGTACCACGCGCGAGGGGATTCCCAACGCTGAGCGCGATTCCTATGTAAAATGGAGATAAGCACACAGTACTCACCTAGCCCAGCCAGTACCCCTTCTTCCGCCTCGGCCTCTAAATGGCGAGGTTTGGTCTGTTTTCGACGGGACATCGTGGAATCCTCTAGCGGACCGTCATACTCTAAACTTCTCCGAGTTCCTACCTCCTCTGATTTATACGTGCCGGCCTAGTGCGCATGTCACAATTATGATTATCAATATATTGCAGACGCTGAGCTCTCTCTCCGATTATCATAATCAAATTGTAAGACAGCATATGATTGGCCTCAGCCCGCAATTAAGTCTGGTTTATGCCTCCTTCCATATGGAGTAACTTGATACTCGGAGCCTGAAAGGCATGGAGAGAATTCAAATTCGAGAAATACATTAACTAAAATTATTTTGCAATGCATATGAGTAGAGATCCTAACAGGCTTCAGATCCCAGAAAGGGGGGGGGGGGTAAGATCGGAGTTTCAGCAAGCGTTCCGATGCACGAGGAATGTTCTCTTTCTTACCTGAAGTTACATAACAATTGATAAAGTTGTCATGTATATCCCCGCTTCAATAAAGTTGATGAAAACATCTATGGCTAAAGACACAAAAAGAGATGTAATTAGCCAGAACTAAATGACGGCAATGCTTGAGTATGCGTTTACTACTAAGCACAGGCAGGTAAGACCACCACAACTAGACGCTTGTAAAAAATGGGGGTTGAAATAGAAGCCAACCGAAGGAGTATGACAAATTTATGAGATGAACTTCCAAAACAAATAACCCCATTCATAAATTAAACCCAGAAGGGGTTTTGTGTATTTAGGAAATAAAGCTTCCCTTCTCCTAACATTCTTTGTAACGTTATCATGTTTATTCGTTTTAGAATGTTTTAAGTTCGTGTAAGTTATACACGGTGCAGTTGGGATATAGAGCCCACGTGAAGTAGGACTTAGTAAGACGCATTTAATTTAATAACCAAAACTCAAATAGGTTTGCAATGGCAATAGGACGTGCGGAAAATTAAAACGGGGAAAGAAATATATGGCCTGATGTGTTTCCTGCGTCAGAGAAATAAAACAAAATGAAAATGATATGTGGTAGCGGTATGTTAGAATTTCCAGACCCGCAGAAAAAAATCGGGGACAAAAAAGAGAAAGAAAAGAAATATTACCCTAATACAAATAACAACTCGACTGTAACAAGAACGGTGGCGCATGACTTTTTTGAGTTTGTCTTTTGACGCGGCTAATTTTAACTATAACCCGGCCATTTTTTTCACAGTTTGGTGCACGCAAGGAGAAACGCTCACTGCGGCTCCTCGTCGCCGTCACTGACGTCGTGCCATACATCGTTTGAGTTGTCAGTAACAACTTATTGCAAGTGACCACACAACTGGAGGTCGTGTAACTTACCGTGTCCTCGCGGGTGCTGATGGGACAGTTTTGAGGTCCTTAATGTGCCCGTGGCACGTGCAGCTGATTACTTTTATGATCTGTCGGTTTGAAGTTAATGATCAGGGTACAGGTGGGTAAATTGGAGGATGGGGTGAGGGTGGGGGGTGGGGGTGGGGGAACCGACAAGACAATTAGTGGAACAGTGCGTTTCATCATAGCTACCACTCAATTTGAAGAGTCGTTTGTACAGCGTACTTGATTCTTTTATTTGGATATGTGTCGAAGTGAGAAAAAAATCGGTGTGATAAGTGAAATCGGACGGCTTAATTAGATATTAAATGAATAACAAAAAATGAAACCAAAAATATGAGGAAGTATGATGTATTTGTCTGTGATGTGTCACCGCGTCTATTTATATACAGTAGTTCATCTGCAAACATAAGATTTTTTTTATAATTGCATCTTCAAATTTGAAATATAAAACATTTAGAATTACAAGGATTTTATGTATGAATAATCTTTATAACTGACCTCATTTTGGGAATTACCAATTCTAAAATGTTCCCTTCCTTAATTTAAAGTAATTACTTTTAATACTTAGCTACGCAAACTGACAGAGAAACGGCTATTAGTTCTACATTAATTTTCGCTGCAGACTATTTAATAACTTTTGAGATAAACTTTCTGGTAACGCTTAAGGGAATTAAAAAAAGTGTCTTTTCATAGTTTCTAAAGGTTTATGTCAACTTAATGAAAATAATATCGCCGCGCTGCGGCAGTGCACCAAATTGTAAGGGCCTTTGACGCGATTTGTAATATATGGCGTTACCGAGTCCATAGAAAGGCCGTTTATCTTGCGTAGGGTGTTTAATTTTGACAGAGCATTTGATTTGGCGACCTCAGCTTTTCTTTTTCTTGCTACCCCCGATATTCTGACGTAACGAGGGCTGGAAGATTTGTTGGAATTTGTCTTAGCCGGTTTACTTGTGTACTTTATGATCGATAACGAATAGAAATAGCAATATCGCCTTATCGCTTGAGAAAATAGACCGCATTTACCTTTCAGCTGTAATATAATTTTGTTGAAAGGTAATTTGATTTCATTCATAATGTTTTGATTTTCTACTTTAACTGTTATGCAACATATGTGAAAACCAATCCGTCGGATACAGTACAGGCTTGATGCGTCGGCACGTTTTCACGTGGAATATGATTAGAGTAAGCGCGGGGAAGAGCGTTTTCACATTCTGCAAATCTACACTATAGAAAGGGCCAACGAAGTGTTTGAATTCAAGAAAAACGAGTGAAAAAATGCTGTAAGAGAGAGAGAGAGAGAGAGAGAGAGAGAGAGAGACGTTAAAACCTTGCTGAAATTAAATCGCCGTGAACAATAGTAAGAAAAAATGGAAATAACGCCGGTGATGGCTGTATGTACAAACACGATCAGTTTGTACATAAATAAGATGTTTAACTGATTAAAAGCATAACATAAGATGATGAAATAAAAGAAAAGAGTAAAAATACCGATAGTCGACAAATGGTGAAGTGTAAAATTTAAGTCACCACATGTATGTAAAAATAAGGAAAATAAATACTCACCGTTTATGTAGTGCAAAGACTCAGGATGCGTTCCTCACACAGACAAACCGGCGGTAGGAAATGACAAAGAATAAATGACAAGAATAAGATATTTATTGACTTCTGAAGGGAATTGACGGGAAAAAACAAAACCGCTGTAAACTTGCGTGCGTTGAAACTCACTAATTGTTGCTTTCGCCAGTCGTTATCCGAGCACCACATCGACAGTTGACCCGGAAACAAAGTATAAAAACTCACGCAAATCTTTGCAAAAAAATCAATCTGCTGAGTTGTTTTAGCTAGATAATTAGTCAATGTGTCATTAGATTTTATGTTTGTTTTATTCCCGGAGAGGTCGTGACTCGGGCAGGAGACGCAGGCGTTCTTGCACGCACCAAGTTTAAGCAGCCAGTCGATAGGCCGTCACTATTAATTATAAATCATTGAGGTATGATGTGTAAAATTAGATTTAATTTTGCACAAATCTTATATTAATTGCCAACCCCTTATTAATTTGCACTGGCTCAGGAAATGGATATACAGCATTCAAGGGAATTAGCGTTTAGCACGCGACCCAAAGATGTGATTTCATAGCCTTCGGTGCTCCGAGCAGTGTACTCGGAAAATATGCTGCAATTTATCTCCCATATGTTGAACAACTGAGAGAGAGAGAGAGAGAGAGAGAGAGGGAAGGCAGGGAAGGAGGGAGAGAAGAGAGCGTAGGAACAAAATGTGGGAATAATGGCTTTGAGAAAAACTAAAAAAGGGCAAGAGAGAAAGACAGAAAATGCCTATTTAAAAAAATTGCAATCAAATGACTAAAACACGAATAAATTGGATTGTGTCAATACAGAAAAAATACTTGACCCCCCAAAAAAGGAGAATAGAGACGGGTAGAAAATGCGGGCCTCACTGTTTGAAAGAATCCATCTGCCTTATAAAATCTACATCATTGTCAGAGACAAATGGGTCGACGTTATTCTGGCTGATACGGGTAGATCACGCCCAGTCATTTAAAGGTAAAAATTAATTCATAAAGTAACCCGCGCCTATGCGTCTCTTTAACGGGGATCTTGATAAAATCAGAATGATATGTGATATTGAAAGGGACACTGGCGGTGACGCACGTGGGTGGCCAGATATCGGTGAATTTTGTTTATACATTAACTGGTAAAGGCATGCCAACATATTGATGCATTTCCGCTAGCAAGAATATTTATGCCGTTATGTCAGTCGGTCGTACCACTACTCCGCCTCTTCTTATGTTAGGACATGATTGAAGTTAATTAAATTAGGACTTCTGATACCCTCTCTCCTTGGTGTTAGATATCGCTATTTCGACTCACGTGACATCCAGACCTCATTTGTGGGAATATGAACTGAAACTGTTTGATTTGCCCGGTTATCAGATACTGAATACTATAGCAAACGCCGTTTTCAGTTGTTAACCTTTTTTCCACACTTTCCTCTTTCATCTAAAATCTTAATTGAAACACATTTTTCTTTACATTATATTTTATCAATTGTTTTTAAAGTAAATTACAACGGGTAATTTCTAACAAAAGTCTTTACTTCTGAGTTGGGGTAGGTAATGCTGAGAAAAAAACGCTAAACATCGTTCAAACGCTCATAATAATGATTAACTTATATTTTACTCTTTCCCTTTGCGAACAAATGAGAGTTACACACTGTTCGTTCTTTACCTGTTCTAGTGCCATCAGATAGAACTGAGTGAAAATAGTTGTTGATATGTACATTGTTTATTCTGCAGGAATTTAGGCTTTGAAATTTGCCCGCGTCTGACGTGAAGTATCGCATTTAATTCTGAACATAAGTAGTCCTTTGCTCTGTGTTATTTTGATAATATAAATTTCTATACATCTTTGACATGAAAAGAGATCAAAGGAATTTCATAAGAGTAGACAGTTGGGGCAGCAGACAAGATAGGTTATTCAATTAACATAAATATCAACATGAGTAAACGCCGTGAAAATTAGTCGCCATAGTCGGGCAGAGAGTTGGTAGGATAAGTACAAGTGTCAGCGACCGTAACGTCAATTGTCAAAGGGGGTGAACTTTAATGAGATGAGGACATTATTCCACCCAAGAGAACGGTTATGGTTATACAGCGTCGTTTTATAACCCCGCAGAATGCGCAACAGAGCGATAGAACGCGCTGTCCACGTGACGCTAAGTTTAAAGGCGGGAAATTTAAAGAGCTGCACAATACAATTCTCTCAATCAGTAAAACCAATGTAAGTAAAATTCCTATACTATAACAACGCCTTGGCATTCCAGCCATCAAGGAACGTCTTAATAATACCGGCATGTCTGAAATGATTTGTTTTCACGAAGAGAATTGCTGTCCGGAGCAAGCAGATCAATAGCACACAGTTCATACTATCAATCTTAGGCAGGAAGGGCCTTTCAGGAGACTAAATACCACCTTAGACTCCATCGGAGTAAAAAGGCTTAACGTGTCGCGCAAAGAGAATAACGACTAGCTTGCATACAGGAGTCGTTAAGTCATCATCTATTTTTCTGCCATGCATGTATTGTCGCGAAGATGAAAATGTATTAAGTGTATGTTGGTGCTGACGAACAAAATAGATTTTTATGAAAGTCCCCCTTAATAGACTTCAATCAGAGTGCGGCGAGAACGGAACGACTTAATGACCGCAAGGAGAAATATATATTGACTTACCTTACACACTTACCTTACACAC